GAATTGGGGAATTCTGAAAAATGAACTGCATGGCACAAGAGACCAAATCATGTTAAGGTGCAGAAAAAGACTATACATCAGTTCAAAGACTATATTATTAAAAAAAAATACAACCATAAAAAAGGTAATAAGATTACATTCTCACACTTCATGGCTAGTAAGGTGCATTAGGCTGCTCAGATATTCATAACTTACTGTGACATTTCATGAGATTACATTTTGCTGTTTACAGCCATTACTGCTGCTCAGATAATAACTAGCTGGTGTACATACCTGGATTATGTGATCCCTGTCTTTGGCAGCAAATTTGTGTCTTGAAGGTTGATCAGCTTCAAATTACTATTAGAATAGGTTAATATGATATACTGTTAAGGTGTGCGCTTATATGTATGTATACTGTGTTGCCATATTAATACTATATCAAATTTTCCAAAAATTGCATGTAACATTCCCATTTGTAAAAATACTTTTATAAAACATTTAAATGAAAATTACTTAAGTCTGATTTCCTGAATGTCCTATTTCGAAATGCTAGTGAATTATTTGTGTTTTGCAGATTAGATAGGAAAACTAATATGTCAACTTCTTGGATGGGTGGTTACTGCCTATGTACATGTAGCTAAAAGTGAAAGATGACTTGTAGAGAATTGAGGTGAAGGTGAGGTCACTTTACTTAAGAGCAAAATGTATGGCCTATAAGGTGCTGGCATGACAGTTGATGGTTCTTTAGAATCAAATATATTAACTCAAGCAACTCTAAGAAGATAATGGCCCAGATTTTTTTTTTGGGGGGGGGCAATGCTTAGTATTGAGTTTAGCATTGGCTAAAAGTTGTATTGCTAAGCATAAATTCAAACGTTTCCTTTAATAAAATTGCTTTGAAGTTTATTATAACTGCATTTATCTGGTCTTTCTATTGAACCAAGTTCATAATTGCTATTATTGCTAATATCCAGTTGTGAAGAGAAATTTTCAAGCCATAAATTCTGTATTATTTGATTGTCATTTCTGGTGAAGTTGTTTTATGATGGTGTTGCTATGGGGGCATCGAAGTAGAAATTGTGGCCTCTTTAGATGTAATGAAAATTGTCTAGATTTTATAATTAAAATAACTTGAAATAATGATAGTTATATCATATCTATAGGTATAAACTTCTCTGCTAAGGAATTTGCACTTTCACAGGCCATAAAACACACATCTTGCCATTAGACTTAAGAAGTTTGCATATATTTCTTGGATTTGCATATAGCTTGTCATTACAGAAATTTGAGAAATATATTTGCAGTTTATTATATATGCTGTTACTCCTTCATTAAGAAAGAAATTTTAAAAAGAAAATATTAAAATATTCATTTCTGTTGTCTGACTATTCTATTTTAAAATGTCACATATATTCATTATATATTTCCAATCTTGAAGTGTTTGACATCATTGATTTATTTTGAGAATGCTGAAAAATGTGTTTTCCAAGTTACATATTTCTCCAACACTTCTGACCTTGAGTAATGAATGGAAGCTACTTGAATTCATGGAAAAGCATGGAAACAGACTCGTTTAGCAAATCTTACTGCAGAATTGCTATATTTTAAATGAAAACCATCTATGATTAGTTTCTGTTTAGTAATAGATCTCTGCCACTAACTCATATAACCCACTATGTGACATTCACAGAATTAAATATAGGCCCAATAAGAAAACCTGTCATCCATACTAGCTGGCAGGTGGCAGTATACACTGTGTGCTGTAATATGAAATCCATGCTCATCAGCTTGAGGAGGCTGTATTCAGTAACATTGACCAGGATGTGAATAACAATATTAACAATTTCTTGTAGAAAAACATGGGGATATTAAGTGAAAATTCTGCCAGTCCACATCCTTAGTCTGTTCAAATCATGAAATAGGTAATAGAACATTCATGTATGAAGGTACTAAGGAGGGCAAATAGGGTTATTTTCCCTTCAAAAGTGCAGGTATGATGCCACCGAAATTCACTTTCTTTTCAAGAGTTGCAGAATATGTAGCCTTATTTTAACAGCAGCTATAGTCCAATCTCTTCACTGTCATTGGTCACAGACAGCTGTATATCCAGGTTAGGACTAACATTTCTTCTTGGAGGGGCAAATAGGTTTTTAGTTTCTTAGCACTTTGCCCTACAAACTATATCTAGTTTGTTTGGAGATCACGAAGAAGAAATTGCAAAGGAATGTTTCAAATAATTGGTTCAGTCACATAATTCTTTCTTATACCATGCTGCAGTTGCTCTTATTATTGTGTTTTAATTTCACTTCCATTTTTATCAAAAGTTTAAATTGTGTAGTAAGATAGAAGGGATATTTTTAACATGTAAATGGAGGGATAGAGACTGGTATGATTTCTAATCTGGGTTGCAAAATTTTGAATGACAACTGTATGGCAGTTACCCAGAACATTGTTTTTATTTGTCAGCTGGGAAGACAGATCTAGTAGATTTGGACTTTTTTTTTTACCATTGTATTGGCTGATTATATACTCTTTTTATAAAATGCAAAGCCCATAAGCGACAGCTTGATGCTATTCAGAGTACTCTCACAGGTGAACAATTTGCCTTTCTCATTTGAGAACACTTTATATGCTTGGGGACAGAGCTACATATTCAGTGTAATTTACACTTAAGGATCAGCTGGAAATAGTTAGAAAAGTTAACCTGGAGACCTATATACAGAGTTTGCCTAATTCATTCAATCAACCAGGCATGTCAAATTGCCGGCCCACAGGCTGGATGTGTCACAATGAAACCGCGCCCACCCCATTGCCAGCAATGGGGAAAAAGTCCCGATACGTCGTACAACATCACGTGACGTCGCGAGTTTGACATTCCTGCAATAGACCTTTGATAGATTTAACTTTGTATCTGATGCTACTCAATTATAAATAAATCCTATTGAAGTCAGTGTTCCTTACAACTGAATAAACATAGATTTAACTTGGTATATAAGTGTATTTGTACCTAATGCTACTCAATTATAAATAAATCCTATTGAAGTCAGTGTTCCTTACAACTGAATAAACATAGACGTGTTTTGTTACAGCTTATTTTATTTTATTAATCTTTGGTAATTGATTTAAAGAACACATAGCATAGAAATAATTATACTAATAATAGAATGATTACAAACATAACCTGCAGGCTTCGGGTTTGCCATCGCAGCCGCCGCAGACCCTGGAAGGCGAGCTCTATCTTCTGCGTTCGGTTTTGTTCTGCTGGGGGACCCTGGAAAGGGTCAAAAGTCACCCTGTAAGGGCAACGAGCAAGGAGGGGACCCCTGCTTGATTGTGGGAGGGTGGCAGCCCTTCCGCTTGATCTGGGGCAATCCTCCAAACTGGCGGAGGAAAGACCGGCCATAGCAATATGGCTTGTCACTAGGCTGCAGACAGCCGAAGTCAGACTTACCACCAGGCACTTTTAAAGCAACGCAGATGAAACTGTAAAAGCTGCCCAAAGTATCTTTCCCCCTGTGAGGAGAGAAGGAAGGAAATTTCTATCCCACCCTCTAAGAATAGTGGCGACTGACTACCCAGGGGAGTTAAAGCACTAAAAGAATAACTTTAATCTAATTGGATTTATGTTCTGAAACTTGGGGACCAAAAGTTTTCTTATTTTCACCAAAGACTTTTGTTTTTATCTATAAAAAAGAAATAAAATTGGAAAAAGGACTATAAAATTCTGACCACAACTAAATAACTAACAACGCAGAAGGTAACAGAAGAAGTGGAACAATCAAATACTAAGACAGAGGACTCAATTGACCAACAAATACAGTCAATGGAATATCCAGAAAAGGGACTGACAACACTGAAAATGGAAAAGACTTTCTATATAAATAAGAAGAAATTTGAGGAGCAAGAAGAACAGACTTAATGGAAGATAAACATACCAGGACAATTATGGGGATTTGGAATAATAGGGAGATGATTTAAGGCAGGGGTGTCAAGCTCAATTTCATTGAGGGCCGCATCAGCATTGCGGTTGCCCTTGGGGGGCTGGGTGGGTGTGGCCAGGGTGGGTGTGGCCTACTGGGTGGGCATGGCCAGCTCTACATTGTTCGTGTCAAGGGTGCCTGTGGGGGCCTGGGCAAGAGTGGGACAGATCTGAGGGTCTCTGGCAGAAGGGGGTGGACCAGGGCAAGTGCCAAGGGATGGTCCATTTCTTCATTCCTCACAAAGGGTGACACCTCCCCAGTGTGCACCCAGGGGGCGGGGCCAACACGGCAGGGGCTGGTTCCTCGCTGTTTCTGGAAGGCCTTGTGGAGCTAAGACTGAATGCATTTCAGCATAGATGGCCAACACAAAATTGTACATTGGCTCCCGGCTGGCCTGAACCAGGGCCAAGGCAGTGGGGGCCATTTCCTCACTGTTTCCAGGATGGCTTCGCGGGCCACATGAAACCACTTCCCGGGCCGCATCCGGCCCCGGGCCTTGTATTTGACATGTCTGATTTAAGGAATACAAATGGACTAGCCCTTCCAAAAAATGGCAACTAAATGGTCTCTCTTATTCCAAACAATATATATAATTGAAGTTGTAGTTTGAGATTTGTACTAAAGATTTTTGTATGTTACTGAACTATTAATTAACCCAGCCACCACGTTGCTTTTTAAATACCTAAATGTAAATTAATAAAATTAATTAATAAAATTATTATTTAAAAAAAAACATAACCTGCACATATTTATATGCTTTGATTATATATGTTGATACTAGTTCATATATTGCTAACATAAAACAGGAATTCAATCAATAGTTCTATGCAAATTTTGTTAGGGACTTTACTCAACTTTGTAGGATTTATACCCTGGTAAATATGTATAAGATTGTATTATCAACCTCTTTGTTAATTGCACAGCTTATTAATGTCTATTAATATCTGTTGCAAGGAAAAATGCTAACCCTGAAAATTATTTATTTTAAAGAGATAATTCTGAAAATAAGTACTAATGTTCCTTTTTTAAAAATTTCAGCTTGTAGGTGGTCATTTCGATCTGGAAATGAATTTTATTATACAAGAAGGAGAAGGTATTACATGCATGTTGGACTTGCTGGATAAGTGTGATGTCACTTGCCAGGCAGAGATATGGAGCATGTTTACAGCCATCCTGAAAAAAAGTATACGAAATCTGCAGATTTGCACAGAAGTAGGTCTTATTGAGCATGTGCTTCAGAGGATTGATAAAGCTGACAACATGATTGCAGGTATGACTTCTTAAATGGTCCTAGAATTGGAAGAAACTTCCAATGAACTAGTATGGAACCCTTTTTCACACATGTCTGAAAAAAATAAATATTAACCTACATCTAATAACCTTCGTTTAATTTTCCACAGATCTTTTAGTTGATATGCTTGGCGTATTAGCAAGCTACAGTGTGACAGTTCGGGAATTAAAGCTATACTTTAGCAAACTTCAAGGAGACAAAGGGAAATGGGTATGTAGAAATCTGCATTAGTAAAAAGTAGTTTTTATTTTAAATTGATATCCTTAACTTTTCATATCATAAAATAACTTTAGGAGTAATAACACTGAATAGATTTTTATGGTTAATAGGTAAAAACTATGGGAGTCAGATAGTGATTTTCATTTTTGTTTATATGTCATTGTGTCCAACAAGATCCAAAGCAGAACCCACCATTCAAATAAAAATAATTGAAATTCAAACAAAATCAAAGTAACAATGCCCTGAGAAAAAGCATGCAAATACCCAGGAGGAAGGTCTCCTTTGTCCCTGCTCTATTCCAAGGCTCGTCAGAAGAGTCAAGTTTTAATGGTTTCCTCATGGGAACCACCCCAATTTTGGGAAACATGCTGTTCAGAAGAAGAGCAGCACACACTATGAAGCTTGTCCCTACAGATGACCTGTCTTAAGTGGGAGCTGGAAAGAGCAGATCCTGTAGATAACCAGAGGTTTTAAGCCATGCAGGGCTTTAAAGGTGATAAACTACACTTTAAATTCCATTTGAAAGTAAGTAGATGTATTACATAGTCAAACATAGAAATTCCCAATCTCTATATAAGATACTATATTCTAGCCCAATTGAAGTTTTGGATGCTCTTCAAGGGTAATCCCATGTACAGCACATTGTATGAATCCAAACAAATGTGACAGAAGCTTGAGTAATTATGAGCAGGAGCCTCTGTCCAAGAAAGGTCAAAACTAGGGGCTTGAAGATGTGTAAAAGACTTTCTTGCCCCAGATGTCTTGTTCTTTAAGCAATAATTGCAATCGCAGGGGGACATTTAAGTTACAAACCCATTCTACATGGAACAGCACAGCCCTATCCAGAGCCACAAATGTCCCTGCTATCAGATGGCTACTGAGCCCATAACTTTTTCACCTTGTTGGCATTAACAGGTTCCAGACACCAGTATAAGACTTCCATCCTGTTTCTATTTTGGCACAGGGTAGAGATATACAGCTGGGTATCACGTAAGGACAAATTGATGATAGCTGAATCTGTGCCGGCAGATAACCCCATTCAGTGGCTTTATATAGTAGCTATTAAATAGAAGAGAATGTATAGTGTACAATTCTGTTAACGCCCCATAACGGCGAATCCTAGAATATGACTTCTTCTCCTTCTTACTATTATTTATTAAAATGTAACTTGAAGGAAGGAGGGAAAAAACTACAAAACAGTGCTTCCCTCTCCCAATCCTCAAAGACAGGTCAGTAAAATACCATGATCAATGTATTCAAAGGCCACTGAAAGGTCCAGCAAGATCAGAGCAACTGCATTCCATTTTGCTAGTCTCATCACAGGCTATCCACAAGAGTGATAATTGTGCTTTCAGTACCACACCCAGGACTGAAATAATTTCCTCCAGGGTCCTTCCAGGGACCCTCCAGACTAACATCATTCTTTAGAAGGGTAAGTTGGAGACTGGGTTAATAGTTGTTTAGTATTGCAAAGTCAAACAATGGCCTTAAGACAAACCTATTTTAGATCAATCTCTTTGTCCTCTTTCAAGGAAGCATTATTATTGCCCTGACCAACCTCATATTTCTTTCCTGGAGGTTTTCACCAACCAGGAAAGGGAAAGTTCCAACCCACAAAAGCCTGGGCTAACATTACAAAGAACCCTGTCCACCTCCTTAGGAATAAAGGCTCAAATTCCTGCTAGATAATCTTTGAAGATGCCACCTCAGTCATCTCACTTCTAGCCAGCATTCATCTTTGAGCAGTTACAAGTGATTTTTATCCTCCAGATAACTTGAAAACTCTTCACAGTACAGTAGTCAGCAGATGTTTTTCTTTGGGTAATTTTAAGCAAGACAGACAATTTTTACATG